AGCTGTCATTGTTGTTTGGCGGGTCCGGGCTGGGGATTCGAACCTGCCACCTTAGGTGTACGTGGCTGGCGCCTTAGCCAGTTGAGCTATAGGTGCCGAGCCAAAGACTGAACTTCTATAACTGCCTACTGTGTTTCCCTACCTCGGCAAACTCTCCCCCTCCTGAGGCACTACCAGCAGCACGCAAGCACACTGCTGTGTATTCCCATCACATACCACTCTCCAGCTACTGACCTGTGTCCCTGCTCCCCCGTTACAGCAAAACTCTTTAAGAGAGTTGTCCGTGCTCTCTGCAACTGCCTTCTCTTCTCCTGAACGCATCCCAACTAGGCTTTTATACCCACCAATTCTCTGCTCAAAACCTTCTAAGTAGCTTCACAAATATTAGAGTTCCCACTGTGTGCTTCTCTCAGAGGCAGCAGGGAACAAAATGGGAAAAACTCTCTGCCCCCAATTTTACATTCTCAGGTAGGTAGAAAAACAATGCATTACTGTATTTATGTAATAGCAGAAGGTAAGAACTACAGAGAAGAGGCAGAGGAGAAAGACTGGAGTACGGGGGTGGGGACTAAAACATGTTCTATAAGGTGATCAGGGTAAGCTCACTGAGGTGATATGTAAACAAAGGCCTGGAGAAAGTGAGAGTGCAGGCAAAAGGAACAGCAAGACTGAGGACCTGAGGGAGAAGAGTACTTGGCAAGGAACCCACATCCACAGACTTGAGCAGGGAGGGAGGGGAAGGAGGGAACTCTGCCCAGGTGTGGGGAGTCACTGGGGTATTCTGAGCACAGGAAAGTTACCTGACTGCTGTCTAACAGGATCACTCTGGTACTAGCACTACTGAGCAAGGGGTTGGACATATAAGCATATGGATCTCAAGTTCAAGGGGAAGGGGCAACACTAGAGACATAATTAGGGAATCATCAGCATAAAAACTGTTATTTAAAGTCATGAAACTGAATGAGACCAATTGTCAGTGAAACTAGCTAGAGAGTGGGCTAAGTTCTTGGCATGAAGAGCTCAAGGAAAAGTGAAGAAACCAGTAAGGAGGCTAAAAAGACATGAGAGAGTGGAGGAAAGCTCGAACATCATGGGGTCCTGGTTCTCTACAGCGGTAACACATTACCACACATTTAGTGGCTTAAAACACCACAAATGCATTATCTTATTTACTGTGTGGCTGCTTCCTCGCTCCGAAGCACAGTACTTCAACTGCTGCACCTGTAGTAGTATCTCCTTCTCTGACTCTTACCCCCCACTCCCCCGCCCCCAGGACCCTGTGACTACAATGGGCTCATCTATTTCAAGATCCTTAAATCTGTCACATCCATATAACATAACATATTCCCAGGATCTGGGGATTATGACATGGGCGTTTTGAGGGGGTGCCTTATTCCATCTACCACCCCAAGTGAAGAAAGTTACTTTCAAGAAGAGGAAATAAACCAGTGAGCCAAATGCTCCTGGGGTCCAGTTAAGATGAGGGTGGAGAATCCACTACCGAATTGAGAGCAGCAAGGAAGTCATCGGCAACTTTGACAGCAGTTTCAGAGAAGCGGCATCAATAGAGAACAGGAGAAGTGGAGACAGTGCAGGCAAAGCATTCAGGCGGTTTTGCTAAAACGAATGGTGAAATGAGGTCATAGCTAGAGGAAGATATGAGGCCAAGAAAAAAAATTTTCCACATGGGAAAAAATGCATGTTCTTATGCTATTTAGAATGATGTAGTAGAGAGGAAAAAAGGAAGATGCAGGAGAAAAGGGAAGCACTGTTGGAGCAATGTCCTTGAGTAGGTGAGAAGGAGCAGGTCTAACTCACGGGGAGAGGGATGGGTTTAGAAAGCAGCACTTTCATCCAGAGAAATAAGAGGAAAAGTCAGCTAAGGTGTGTTTACTGGTTCTTCCCAGCCATGCTCAGCTGCGTAGGTACAGGAAAGAAACCGATGAAAAGTTGGATTAAAGAATAATGGTTTCCAGGGTAGAGGAGAAGGGGGAAATAAATGTTCAATGGGTATAGAGTTTCAGTTTTGCAAGATGAGAAAAGTTCTGGAAAATGGTTGCACAACAATGTGAAAGTACTTAACACCACTTAACTTCTCATTTTATGTTATGTATATTTTACCACAATTAAAATTTTAAAACGTATTTTAAAAAGAAGTTGTCTGAGACCTTAAGGTCAGTGAAAACAGAGAAATGAACTCGCATATTTTGCTAGCATTGTATTAATTTGCTTCCAAAATTTGCAGAATGTGATTTTGATCGTAATAATAATAAAAGCATGGATTTAACCATTTAGGAATTTTGCCAGGAGACTACACTGAAGAGGGAGCCCCTGGAGTGCGCTGCTGGGGCCAGGAAGCACCACGGGGAGGCTGAACCTTCTGCTAATTTAGAAGGTTCTCCAACTCAGCACACCTCCTGCTAGAAGGTCTCTCTATGTACTGTTCCCTCTCTGTCTGGTTGCACTTCTTTCCCTTAGATAGCTTCCAGGCTTGCTTCCAAACGTTTTGGGTCTCTGCGCAAGGCCATCTTATCAGAAAGGGCTTGCCTGACTAACTTCAAAACATTATCTCCTCAGTCACTCTCTGCTCCCACACTCCTGCTTTATTTTTCTTGATACTTCACCCCTGAAGGGACATAAGTGGAACACCAAGTGCATCTACTACACAGTGCACCTCAAATAATTTTTGAATGAAGGGAATGGGTCATGAATGAGCTTGATTTCCTTTAGATGGATCTGGAAGAGATTAGAGGAGCAGCCATCTCAGGAGACTGCAAGGGGAACTGGCGGCCCTTGGGAAAGAGTGGAATCAAAGGTCTGAGCTTTTGTAATAAAAGAGCATAGGCTTTGCGGCCTAGTTTGGAATCCCAAGAGTCACTACTTGGGTGACCTTGGGCAAGACACTTGACCTCTCAAAGCCTCAACTTCCTCCGTGCAATATGCAGATATACATTCAGCCATCTCCAGGGATTATCATGTAGAGTGAAAGTACCCGGCACAGAGCATAGTCTCCCAAGATTAATTCACACTTCATTTCGTTCTCTCAACTTCCCAGGTGGACACTGGGAATAATGTCAACTGCCCCTCCCTATTTAATTTTGGGTCATCGGTAGGGCAAAATGACCTGACAACACACACCTGGAATTTGGGGCATCAAAGGCACTGTCATCTTTGGGGTTTGTCAACGTACAATGCAGTAATCACACAGCCTAGAGGCATACATTTTTTCTCTTTCAGTAAGAGGATCATGAGTTTAAGGATAGCATAATGCCTATCCCTACCTCCTACCTCATGCACACACCACTTGCACTGTGTTTTCAAAACACCTTTTCAGAATGCCACAAGTTGTGGCAGGCTAGCATTTCTGCAGTAATTCATAGAATCACAACTCAAGCTTTGACTATTTCAAAAGCTTCTTTGTTCAGCATGTGAGTTATGTTTGCAAATTCCAAGATGGCAAAGTACCCAATACAACATGGAAAGTCTATACTTACAAACATAAACATGCCCTAAGGTTTGATGCACTATATGGTCCCTCTTCTCCCATCTTTCACTTACTCACCTGTTATTTTTTCCAACAGAGAAACGTCTTGCACTTCCTGGGGCAGAGAAGCAATTTTCTGTCGGACAGTAGCATCCCCTGATGCAGCATTTTCCAAATCTTGCAAAGCTTTGATTAGTTCCTCTGTCTGTAAAATAAAACCACAAACAATACTACCCATTAAGGGGTTTAAAGAAAATCAGTTGGAGTTAAATGAGGAGCCAAGTTCTAAAAACACTCACTTCTGACATTTGTTAAAAAAATTATTTTGTCTCAAAGCTTATAGTCAGTGACATGGATTCTAAGAGAACATACAAAATTAATTTTTCTAAGTCCATGGCAAGATATGAATAAAATTCTGCATAATTTTTTTTTTAAATGTAAAAGAGAATGTTTGGCAACGTAAGAAAACAGAGTCTGGTTCATATTGCTTGATTTCAAATGATGCATTATTTCTAGTGTAGAATAATCTCTAGTATAGAATGTATCACCTGTTTAACAATTGTGTATTGACCAATTAAATGAAATGTACACAAACCTACTTCAACTCTTTTTGTCACTCTCAAAATTAAATGTGTTAAACTCATTAATTATAGACAAAGTGGGGGAAAAAAACAAGAAAAGCAAACCAAGAATGCATTCTGTGTACATCAAAAAGGAGTTTTTTAAATTGTCAGAAAACACAAAATGTTGGCAGATTGGCCAGTCCATAATGACCAAAGAGTAGCTGACTCTGTAGATCAGGGGTCCTTAAACTTTTTAAACAGGGGGCCAGATCACTGTTCCACACACAGACCATTGGAGGTCCAGACTGTGGGCCCCAAGATGAGTCGGCTGCTAAGCAGGACAGGCAGCGGCTGCAAAAACACCCGGCCAGCCGGATAAATGTCCTAGGCAGGCCACATGTGGCCTGCAGGCCATAGTTTGAGGACGTCTGCTGTAGATGATAGTTAGATTATCTTGAAAGTTGATGATTCAGGCTGTTCTCGTCAAAGTTTTTATTATTTTTTTTTAATGTTCTCTACACATATACATGTGTTTATTTGATTTCCACTTTTTGCCTTCACAAAAAGGCTTAAAATTTAATAACAATAACAATGTTTAAGGTAAGGACTAGAAACAAAAACCTCATAAAGAACAAATGAAGATAAATACATTTGGAACAGAGATCAGATGATGGCTGCAACAAAATACTAAGTATTAATAATGATGCAGGCTCAGTGCCTATAGCTCAACCAGCTAAGGCGCCAGCCACGTACACCTAAGGTGGCGGGTTTGAATCCCCAGCCCAGACCCGCCAAACAATGACGGCTGCAACCAAAAAATAGCCGGGCGTTGTGGCGGGCGCCTGTGGTCCCAGCTACTTGGGAGGCGGAGGCAAGAGACTCGCTTGAGCCCAGGAGTTGGAGGTTGCTGTGAGCTGTAATGCCATAGCACTCTACCCAGGGGGACAGCTTGAGGCTCTGTCTCCAAAAAAAAAAAAAATAATAATGATGCAAAAAAAGTAGCATTCACATTGTCAGATAAAAGTATGTCTATCATAGAATGCCTTGACTCTGAGGTTCAATATGGAGTCATCAGTTCTCTTTTTTCAAAGTCTCAAAAAACAGTGAATAATTGTTTTTATAAATAAAAATAGAAGATAATTTCAAAAAACAGATCATGCCAAATCTTATAGACAATAAAAAAAGAAGAAATACTTCAAAATCATTCTACTTCATCTGGACATATATGATATTAAAATTGGAAAAAATATATTATTATAAAGGGAAATTACAAACATATACTTATAAATGAGGATGCAATATCCTAAACAACATGTTAACAAGTTGAATTAAAAATTATTGTTCAAATAATGTACTTTGGACAAAATTAAAGTTCAAAGTTCAGGTTGTTCTCTTCAAAGTTTTTAAATGCAAAGATATATGCTCTAACACTGCTAACATTTAATCCCCAGTCTAACTGAACATTCTGAACATTTTGGGTTTTGTTTTTTTTTTATTTTTTTAAGAAGCCAGGTCTCACTCTGTCAACCCAGGGTAAGACTGTAGCAGTGCAATATAGCCCACTGTAGACTCAAACACATGGGCTCAAGCAATCCTCCTGCCTCAGCCTCCCAAGTCACTGGAACTATAGCTGCATGCTGCCACGCCCAGCAGATTAAAAAAAATGTTTTTTAGAGACACGGTCTTGCAATGTTGCCCTGGCTTGTCTCAAATGACCTTCATACCTCAGCCTTCTGAGTTGCTGGGATTATAGACATGAACCAGCACACCTGGCTAATATTTTAACATAACACAAACCAGACACACTTCCTACTTATATAGGCTTTAAACACACCCATGTACAACAAAGTAAAGCTGCTTCAGGAAAAGTAAGAGGTGGTAGTGTGGCCCCCTGAAAAGAGCATGTGTTCTAAAGTCAAACAGACCTAGATTCAAATTAAGACATGGGCAAGCAATTTAACCTGTCTCCTTGAGCCTCAATTTCTTTGACTGTAAATAAATAAAATGAACTAAGGCAGAGTTAATGAGCTAACTTGTACAGAGCCAAACAACGTAAACATGTGGTTAAAGACTAACTCCATGGCTCGGCGCCTGTGGCTCGACAGGCTAGGGCGCCAGCCACGTACACCTAGGGTGGCGGGTTCGAATCCCCAGCCCGGACCCGCCAAACAACAATGACGGCTGCAGCCAAAAAATGGCCGGGCGTTGTGGCG